TTGCTGCCAAATACCACAATTTCAGTTTTCTTATCATTTAGGATAAGAGAGTTTGCTAGGAGCCATTCTTTGACCTCACGCATGCACTCTTGGAAACAGTGCAAGGACAAAGCAAGATCATCATTTAGTTCAAAGTAAATCTGCATATCGTCAGCATAGCAGTGGAAAGCGGTGCGGTATTTCTCAAAGATTGCACTTAGAGGGACCATATACAGTGAGAAAAGAATAGGGCCTAACACAGTCCAGTTAATCCACAGATAATCCAAAGAGCTGTTTAAACAGCCGGCGTTCACACATATTCAGCATATTACAAGATGTGAATCTGTCTCCTGAAGAGTTTTGCTTTCATTCTTAATTCAAAGATTTCAACTCATAGAATTCTTTGAAAATGATTCAACAAAATGTTGGTGCATACTTTAAAATGTTTTAAATTTACTGCTGCCAGTCACACTTTCACTTTTGCTCTCAGTGTGACACCATGGCAACCAGCTGTCTGTCTGAAGATCAGTTCCTGTGCTCCGTCTGTCTGGAGGTCTTCACTGATCCGGTCACCATCCCGTGTGGACACAACTTCTGCAAGAACTGCATCACAGAAAACTGGAATATCAGTCTCTGCTGTCAGTGTCCACTGTGTGTTAAGGTTTTCCACAGCAGACCAGAGCTGTGCGTCAACACCTGCTTATCTGAGATGGTGGATATGTTCAAACAGTCCACCGTAAAGAAGAACGGCAGCGCAGAGGAACAGCAAGCCGAATCAGGAGACGTTTCATGTGAGGTGTGCAGTGAAACCAAGATGAAGGCTGTGAAGTCCTGCCTGCAGTGTCTGACTTCCTACTGTAAGACTCACCTGGAGCCTCATCACAGAGTAACAGGCCTGAAAAGGCATCAGCTGATTGATCCTGTAAAGAACCTTGAAGACAGGATGTGTAAGGAGCATAACAGACCTTTAGAGCTCTTCTGCAAGACTGACCGGATGCCAGTGTGTGAATTTTGCAAGCAGTGCAATCACAAGGGGCATCTCATCATTTCTCTGAAAACAGAATATGAGCAAAAGAAGGCCGAAGTGGAAGCAAGAGAGGGTAAAATCCATCAGATGATCAGAGAAAGACAAAAGAAAATAAGCAACTTCAGAGAAGTGTTAACGTGCAGCAAGGAAGCTGCAGAGAGAGAGAAAACAGCAAGTGAGCAAATATTTGACAGTCTGATCAAGTGTGTAGAAGAAAGTCGGAATCAGCTCGATGGTGTGATCGAAGGGATGCAGAAAACAACAGAGAGCCAGGCTCGAGGCTTCATCAAAGAGCTGGAGGAAGA